AATTGAATCAAACTGAACTGAATCCTAAGACTAACAAAGATTTGGTTTTGGTGAGTTTTGTAATTTACTATTGTTGGTCTGAGGTGCTGGTGCTCTAGTGCGAAGTGAATTTGTAAGGTAACAATGCCTTGTGGCCTCTTTTATTTTGTGTGTAAATCTGAATATTCAAATTAGCTAGAAAATACAGTTGTTAAATAAATGTAGTGGAGTAAAAGTATATATATTTACATCAAATGATAAGTAGTATGTCATAACTGTACCCTGGTACAGTAAGTGAGCAAATGTACATAGTTACATACTACCACTGGTCTCTTTGTAAGTCTTGAACCATGATCTCACTTTATAGGGAATTTTGAGTTTTATAGAGAACACGAAACACAGCAATGTGTCTATACAGCACAGAGGTTCAATCTTACAGTGACTGACCTGTGTGCAATTTTAGAATAAAAAAATAACAGAAACCCCAGCTCACATCCTCTACTCAAATAGCAGCCTTGCATTTATCGTGGCACATTAACATGTGTCACTAATGACTCACCTACCAAGTCTCTCAGAAGACACATTTTGTTTGCTGGCAAGTGGAGTGGAATTTGCTGACGTACATGCCAATGTTTTTCACAGCTCTCATTACACTTAAAATCATTAAAATCATTACATGAAAAGGTGAAGTATTATACTGACTGTGAAGCACAATTCTGTGCTATCTTTATCTGAAATGTCCAAATTACACCAATGAGCACAACTTGGAGATATTCTGCAATTATGGTCATTAAGCTGAACTCAACACCTTGTCATGTAATGACATTTTGTAGCTGTGTATTTAGTTTAGTCTGTGGCAATTTAGTCTGATCATTGCTTTTCCAGGACATGAGACAACATCCTGCTGCACAATACCTGTAGGCTCTGCTCTGTTTGTGGCTTTTAGAGTCCTCTGTACAAACTGCCACTGTTTGTCTGGCCACTCGTGTTTATTTCTTTTTCTTTTCTGGCATAATTACTATACATTTTTTATACTGAGTGCAGTGTGCATTTACACTATATGGACTTTATTTTTGGACATTTATGAAAATAACTGTTTGGCATATTTCCTGAAACTTTCACTATATCCTGACAGTAGTACCGGAGACAGATAATATGTGAAAAACTCAGGTTCCTTTGGCTACACTTAGTGCTCCTGTTTTTTTTAAGTTACCTACTGCAGCTTTAATGAGTTTAGCACAGTGATAAAACCAAAGTTTACACTAAATGTTTGTCATGCACATGCTGTTTAAAATCATCACTTACTCAGAACATGATACATGCATTAATACATAATAATCAAATGTGGCAAAGCATGTATATATGAAAGTTTTCCTTTGAAATGTAATTAAACTATTCATGAATTAAATGTGGCACATGAGCACATTAGCCATATTGTTTAGCTTACAAACTTTAAAATATTCATTAAAGTATTTAAAAGTATATGGAGCCAGCTGTCCTGTTTTGTGGACCACACAGTCATCCACTCCCAGCACTGTTTCAGTCAGAAACATTATCTGTTCTATATATTATACCCTACTTTTATTCCCTCAAGTAGACATGTGGTTGTAGTCACTGCCTATATTGTAACACTGTAGAAATGTGATATTTGCATATTTAAAGCAAGTTTTATTTAAAAGCTTAAAGATTCCCTCCTGATATATATTAAGACATATATGTCTTAATGTAAATACATAGGAAAAATAACGTGTGTCTAAAATACTTTTTCCACAAAAAAGTACAATTTCCACATTAAAATCCTTAAAAAGTCATCCACTCCTTCTACATTATTAAAACTTCCAGAATATCTAAATATGCCAATTTGTTCATTTCTAAGGTTTTCCTGCTGGACACAAGATGTCTCCTACTTCACTTTAAAGTCCATTATCAGTGTATGTATACTGGTGGCTTCAAGTTTCTACATCACACTGTACAAGTTGGATGGACTTCCAAACTATTTGTGATGTCACAAATTTTGCTGGTAGGCCCCGACCCTTAAAATCAGATTTTCAGTGA